CAGGAAGGTGGGAGGCGCGTAGCAGCTGCAGCCTGCAGGAGGGAGAGAGCGGAGAAAGGGCGGTCAGAGCTGAGCAGAACGCGGAGCCCCCCCTCCGCCCCCCCAACCCCCTTCCTCGCGGGCCACCGTCAAGGCTCACCCTGTGGTGCGAGGAAGCACAGCAAAGAAACGGGGTCCTTTGGAAGGGAACGCATTCCTCAAGCACACGGGCAGGCAACGGGGAACTAGACGGAAGACCCTGGACGAGGGGTTCAGGGATCCTAGTAGCCCCTCTCCCGCGGTGACTGGACCAACCGTCCAGCACCTTAGTTCCCACAGTAGCCAGAAATAAATAAATAAGTGTGTGTGTGTGTCTGTAAAGACTTATACATAAAGGTTTCTGCATAGAATTTTTTTCTTGGGGGGAGAACAAGCATGCGTCGGAGGGGGGGGGGTTGCCCTGCAGCTGTTCGCTCACTTTACCGTTCGTTCACTACGAGAGTGAGTGAAAGATAATTTATTTCTCATTATAGTAGAACCTTCTACATTATACCCTGAATCTACAAAATGGAAGGAGTGCTAAGCATAGGATGACCCCTCAGTTACATTTAGATTGAGACTGGAACTGGGAGTAAATCTCACCGAATACATGAGGAACGCATCTGGTTCAGTATATATCAGACTGGATTACGCCTCCCCCTCCCCGAAAAATCTCCTGAAACCAAAAAAGGTGGGGAGAGCAGCCCTGCCACTCCCATACCCATAAAAACAGTTGTCGGAAATTCTCTTTCAGACTGTACAGAAACAGATAACAGTAGTTCTCTATTTCTCTCACCCTCCGTAAACTCTGAGGGAAAGGGAACGTGATCTTGCGCCAAAGCATCCGTGCGCGGTTAAAGAACACCCAAATTGGATAAATTAATTAAAACTCCTCTCTCTCTCTCTCGTCTCGATTAAGCTGGCTGCCTGTGAAGTCCGTTTGTGCCTTTTCCCTTCACCCTGACTCAGCTCATCCAAGATGTCTTTTCCCTCGAATTTCCTTTCCGAGCGCCCAAGAAACCCCGCTCAGCTTCCACTCCCCGCACGCGCCCGAACCAGAAGGCCGTTTCAGCTTTGCTGACCTCTCCCCGCCCGGTTGCAGCCAACCCTCCCAATAAATTCGAGGAGGAATACCAGAGAACCAGGAAACCCCACCTGGGAAGTTTGGGGCAACGGTTTCTGAAAAATTGAATCTCGGTGACTCGACTCTTATTGCCCCTCTCCCCGGCTCTTCCTCCAACATTTCTATCAAGAAGGCACCTCGCACTACCCTGTGGTAGGAATTCTTGCTTTTTCCCAACCTCAGATTTGCAGGAGGGAGCGCTGATTACCTGGAAGGTCCATAGCGGAGGAGCGTCGGCTTTGCCAAGGCTGCTGTCCACGAAGTTGTATTGCTTGGGAAAAAATGAGGCGAGATTAGACTGGCGGAATGAAGAAACAAGGTTCGCCTCAGTCCCCCCCGCCCATTGACAATAATCTCCCCCTTCGTTTTCCCACCCTCTCGCAGACACATTCACACCCGTCACTGTTTCTCACACTAGATAAACCCAAGCAACATTCCACCCCCACCGATCTCGCGCGCGCGCACACAGACACACACGCACACACACAGCTGCACTCCTGCCCGGGACCCAGCTAGCCAAACGCGTGCACACAACCTTTTCCCACATAGATTTGTTCCCCTGCTCAGTTTCCTTGGATGTCTTTCGAAAAGCCGCCACTACCTCCCGCCGGACGCAGGCTAAACTTCATCCGGAACGAAGCAGGACGATCTTTGGACTCCAATTCTTTTTTAAAGAAGCGTCCCGCTTTCCTTTCATCCCCTTGAAAAACGACTAGAAAGCAATCCGCTTCTCCTCTCCTCTGGTCCCTCCCCTTTGTCCAGGTTAAGGACGGGGTCAGCAGCCGCGGAAGACTGCTGTCAACTCCTGGAGGGGTGGGAGGGGGGAGCAGCGCTGTCGTTCCCTGGCTTAGAAGTTGCGTTTCTGGTCCGCGCGCTGCCAACAGCTGGCGAGTGGTGAGAAGGGCAGAAGGTCTGTCCCTTTAAAACCTCAGGACTCAGGAGTTGTCTAAGCAGCAATGCCTTATTAACTCGACTTCCAAGCCTTGTCTTTTTCCCCAGGAATGCCCTATCGATCGGGGATTAGATATGTGTGGGGTTCGGGGGAGGCGTCTTACCCGGATGAAACGGGACGCAGCTCCGGCGAACTCCAAACCTGGTTGCAGAGCGCCACCTCGCGGCTTCGCCTATGAATATATTTGAGAATTAAAGGGACGAAGAGAACGGGATGGATTGCCTGGACGAGAGGAGGAATCTCGCTAGCGGGATTCCCGGGTGAAGGATGAACTTTCAGTTAAATTCTCGCTCCCCTGTCGGTCTGTTCCCCTTTCCTTTCTACTTTTGTGCAACCACGTGGGAATCCTGCGCCCTCAGGCCTTTTGCTGCCTTGGCCAAGCCGCCGGGTGGACAGATGTTGCAGCAGGCAAGATTAGCATTTGTTATAGGTGGCAAAACGCAGACATGCATAGCTTAAAAAATTGCAGTTGGCTGCTTCTGAGCTGTTGCTGCCAAAAAATAAAGCCGAAAGGCCAGGGAAATAGAACCTGTTATGATGCTATAATTTACCCTACAATTGCCTCTTCATTTTTCATTCTGGGTGTGTGGGCTAATTTTTATTTAGAAACAAAGGAAAGAACCAAATGTATCATCGGTGGAAGACGGCTTGTCTTCATGTCATCAGCAATTCCTATTCCTTAAGAAATGGTAACATAATAATCCTAGGAGTCCTTCCTGTAATAGATGCTGGGGATGAAAATATTGTCTAACCACATCCATTTTTACAATTCTGCTTTATAAGATGGAATGTAAACTTAGCTGCTCCTTTTAAGAAGATAATTAAGTATTTAAAGCTTTGTATTTTGGAAAATGATATTCTCTCTCTTCTGAACTGCATAACTACATAAACTTTGCCACTTAAAATGTAAAGAGTCTTCAGGGAATTGCAACCCAACTTCAAACCACTGAAGCCAGAAGAGATTAAATTATATATAGAATTGTAATCCACCAGCATTTATTTTTAGTTAAATGCATACAGGTAGTTCTCCTTACCAGCAACTACAATTGGGACCACCAATTTGGTTGTTAAGCGAAGCAGTTGCTAAGTGAAATTGTGACTGTGCTTACAATCTTACTTCAGCTTTCCTTTGTTTTACAGACCTGTGAAGGTCGTATATGCAAGGATCGGTTGTAAATTTACTTTTTCATCACCATAACTGTGAATGGTTGCTAAATGAGGCAGATGCTAAATGAGGACTACCTGTATATGAAATAGGCACCTGAACGATACCAAGTCTGTTCTGAAGGAAAGCAAGTAATTGGTAAATGGCTCTCTTCCCTCCACTGCCTACAAGCAGAAGCTGGAAAAGAGCAGTCATGGAGGAGGAGTCTCAGCAGGAAACTATCTTGGACCCCCTCCACACCCCCAGTGTGGTGCCTTCTCCTTTTCTTCTGAGTTCTGCAGATTCCGTTAGGGAGTAGGAAGAACACACACTGAGCACACACCTGAGAAGGTGGGCCAAGGCAGGACAGCTGTTAAGCAAAATATGATTAGTCCCCTCTACCTGGTCACCAACCCTACCTCCCCCATTGGAAGGTACACACAATTAAATGCAAGACATGGGAGCAAATGAAACATAGTATTGAGCAGTACAATAGCACTGTGCTGTTAATTACCATTTTAGCAAATACTAACACATTCAGATAAAAGCAGAGGAAATCTACAGTAATTTCCCATGGCACTTTATGGTGCTTCTATATATATATATATATGTCTCAGATGTTAAGTAAAGGCTACCACCACTTGTTTTGTCCAGGATACTGAAAAACCGATCACTATAAAATATAAAACTGTTTGGAACAATGAAATTATTCATCCAAGGGATCTCTGGCAAAGGACAATTTTCCTTTATCTTTGACTCTGATTAGGTTTTACTGCAGAACTTGGCCACTTAAAGAATCATGCCTAAGTAGTAAATGTTTTGTAATGGCTCCTCTCATCCTCCCTTCCCCCATAAGCAGAATTTTATAACTCATTGGAGTTACATTTTATGAATACAGCATGTGCAGGAGCATATGGTGAAGTGCCTTTCCAGAAATAGACTTTGGGATATATTTTTAATGTCTCTTCTGCTTTTTCTACTTTTCTGATTTTTTTTAAACCAATTCCCAAACCGAGAATGATCTTAAGATGGCAAAAGTATGTCAGGTATATCTTCTTTAATATTGCATACACTTTTGTCTAACCTCTGTCCCACTATTAAAACTTTTCAGTTGAGGTATAGATTTTTAGTTGACATTTTGTCATTGCTAGCATGCCAATTCAGATCCTAAATTTCAGGAAATTGTATGCATTTTCAGGTCAGGTCAAGAAGGTGGGTGAGCTGATGATTATTCCCTATTTTGCCTTGAGAAATTAGAAGGGAAATATGAATAGCACTTTTTAAATGCCAGAAGAAGGTCACGATGAGTTCTGTATCATGCCAGATAGCACCTAATTGACTTAAATTAGGAAATGTTGAATATTACACAAAGTTTCTAACAACAGCAATTCATCAGTAGAGAGTTGAAGGATCACAACAGGCTTTCAAGGAGAGACTGGATAGCTATTTGTTGGGGGCACTTAAACGTAGGCTTCTCTGTTAAACACAAGGATGGCCTCAGAAATCTAAATGGCTTCTTCTCACTCTCTGTTTCTATTTTAGCCTGCCTTTGTTTTGTTTCCTTTCTCTCTGATGAATTTTGAATTGTGAGTGCATCAGGACAGAGCACTGACATCTGGTTTAGTTATGTAACCTTGATCTTCTCTGTTATTTCTTCAGGAGCTTCAAACTGATAGGTTAGTAACAAAGTCACAAGCGAATTACGGTTACAATGGTAGACTAGTAGATTCAAGAAAGGTGTCTTGAATATAATATTGGTCTGCTCAGTCATTTTAAATAAAAGACTATTGGTGAATCTGAGTGGTACACTTTCCAATAAACAAATAAATACCTTCACAGGGAGATCTTTGAACATGTATGTGAAACAATTTAATGACTATATGTTTGGCTATTTTCGTCTGCATTTACAAAAATCATTCAAGTAACTGTGACAGAGTCATTTTTGTCTTTAAATTTCTTGCTTCTGTTGTATTTCTTGAATTTAAAAATATCAAGTTTTTATTGCATAATTCAGTGGGTTAAGTTGACCTGTTCTGTTTAGCTCAAATGTTTGGCTATACAGCCTAGATGTGGAAGACAGTGAATAACATTTATAACAATCTGTAGTGGTCCAGATGATGTGAAAAATAAATCTCTCCCTGGTGGGGAATGTTGAGGCTGTTCCTCAGTGTCTGGGTAATTTTGTGTTAGTATTATTATGTACCATATTATTTTAATTCTATTGTTTGTAGAACTGTAACCCATTCAGAGCTAGTTATGACTGAAGTGATGGACATATGGAAGGAGAGTTTAATAAAAGAATAGGCCTGTGTCCAGTAGGTTGCATACATTACAGAACATCATTTGCAACTATCCAGTGTTCCTAGAGCCTGCTTTTGAATTTTAGCAGCAAAACACCCAAATTTTGGCAGCATTAATTCAACCCATTGAGGGGGGAGGAGGAGATTAGCAGCATTTATGCATGGAAATAATAATGCTATGCCTCTCAGTGGCCATTCCTACTCACTTCTCTAGCACCAAAAATGGTCCTAAATTAGTTCTTGGGGGGTCATTTTCCATTTGGGGTAGATGTAGAGTGGAAATGGGAGCCACAGGCCTCTGGGAGACAAATTGTACTACTGTCCT